CAGTCGCTGGCGACGGGAGGATCTTCTGGGAGGGGAGATTGGATTGACGCTCGGCGATGAGGTCGGCTTTAGATTGTTGTTCGGGCATGGTGGGGATTCTGAGAGGTTTTAGAGGAGAGGAGAGGAGAGGAGAGAGGAGAGGAGTGGAGATGAAATGGTAAAGGTGTAGAGCTAGAGCTTACTGTGTGTTTTGAAGGAGAGAATTATTTATTTGTGAGGTTGTTCGTGGTGAGTTGTTGGTATGTTCGTGATGTAAGTGATGTTTGTTTGTTACGAGTTGGTATGTTCGTGATGTAAGTGATGTTTGTTTGTTACGAGTTGGTATGTACGTGTTGTAAATTATGTTTCTTTGTAGGATGAAGAGAGAGGGGAAATGGAGGGGGAGAATGAGGTTTAAAATATCTTTGAACTTTTCAAAGCCATGCCCTATGACAAAATAAAACTCCACCTACTCGTACTGTATCAAGGCATAGTGCGATTGTTCCTTGTTACCTTTTGGACATTTTGCTCCGGAAGATAAGACGATTGAGAAAACCGAGGGACTCGAGGATATGTAATGTGATGTAATTATGATGTCGATTATGCCAAGCATTTGTTTTAGGTGGTGCCATATTTCCTTTGACAACATCAACATCAACATCAACATCTACATCAACATCAACGTGATTTGGCATGATTCTATCTCGGATGAAACCATGATCTAAAAAAATTACAAGAATAAAAAAAAGTAAAAGGTACAAGGTACAAGGTAAAACGGTAAAATCGGGAGAAAGAACTAGAAACTTCTTCATAATTTGGTATCATTAAATCATCCTTGTAAAAACGCCAATTGAGTCTCCCGTCCTAAATTGTGACCCTCGACTCCAACAATGCTCTCCATCAGCTGTCAATAATACAGAAATTAAGGAAGCCTTCTATCACTTGCCTCTCCTGCTGGAGCAGTATTTCCGGTATCAGGACTGAGATAGTCTGCGTCTTCTGCAGCTTCATACTCTGCAATAAGATCTGTTACTACTTCTCTTGCCTCATCAAATTCGTTGAGATTGTCAGCAAATGGAGCAGTTTTCTTGTAACCTTCCACGAAAGCATTGCGCTTCCGCATTCCATCGTATTGTCTTACGATTCGTTTAAATAGCTGTTATCTGTTAGTGTTTCCGGGCAGACCAACAGTTGGTAGAAGAAACTCACTGTTGCTATACTTGTATGATTTGCCAGCATGAGTCCACTGACTCTGTGATTCATAGGTATATACGGACTCTTCTTTGTCAATGCCACTTGAATACTTGCTGGACCCCAAGGAATAAATGTTGCAAGTCGTCGCTCACGAATTCGAAGTAGACTTTTATGGACATCGGTTGGATCGACATCTCCTTGAATGACATTCAAAATTGATATGTAACAACTCTTCTTGCCGGGAATTGTAGAGACCATACGGTTCTTGGGCTGTAGAAGTCTTCGCATGACATCTAGAACTGTGGTTTTCCGTACCGTCTTCGCCTGCTCAACATTGTTTCCTGTAAATGGGGTATATGCCGTCATCAAGAAATGGCAACGAGGAGTTGGGATGAGTGAGGCGACTATGCTAACAAGATCGTTGTGCATATATCCTGGATATCTAAGTGTAGTGGTACTGGCTGACATTACAGTAGAAACCTGTACATATCAGTAAATACTTCTTGGATGGGAAAGGAGTATGCTAACCAGTTGATTAGTTTGTTGAAATGATGGCTCTTGAACATGTAATCTATCCGCAGCTATTCTAGACAGTGCTCCATTGTCCAGTACAACAACTGAGTCGGCGTTCTGTGTCAATCTTCGCATCGAGAGTAAACTGTTGTATGGATGTACAACAACATCTCCAGAATTGGTGGTATCTGGAAACACAGAGTATGTTTGGATAATTTTCTTGGGGAAACGATCGTTTAGTCTTTCGAGTAGAAAAGATCCCAACCCAGAGCCAGTACCACCTGCTATAGAGTGCAACATCATGAAGCCCTACTGAATTAGCTTCGTCGTTTGTATATCGTCTTCGATTACCCACCTCGAGCGAGTCACTGCCATCAGCCTCTCGATCAAGCATTTCCATAATTTCTTCATGTACAGATTCGCCGGTTTGATATCCATCTCCCCAATTATTTGCGGCGCCTGAACCATTCTTTCCCACAAAAAAGTTCTCTGGATTATAAATATTTTTGTAGGGACCAGTTTGAATACCGTGGAGTACCTGAACAACCTCATATCAGCATCCCGAGCGTTTAGTATAGGAGCTCAAAGGCTACATACACGAGGCTCTAGGTCGATCAAGATAGCTCGAGGAATATATCGAGTGTCGTCCGACTGATAGAAAAAGACATCCTTTCTATCCCCTCCCTCTGTTGCAAATTCCTCAAGATTACCATCTTGACTTATGCCATGTTCCTGACATAACTGCTGCCAAAATTGACTACCAACTGCCCGATATCCTCATTAGAATTTCCTCTAACTCGTATAAGCATACGAGGGATTTAACTGACTGCTGTTGCCGCACTGGCCGGCCTGGACCGTGATTATTTCTCTGTAAAACAAAACTTAATTAGCAGCCGTAAAAGGTGGAAGAAGGAAAAATTAGTTACCTTGGCATTACTGCAGCATCAAATGCACAATATGGTTATGATGCGCAATATCATACAAGTGGGAATTCTGGAATTCTACAATATCTTATGATTTTATTGATGTTCTAGAAATTGTCTATCTATTTGTCGACGCGTGAAATAAGGTTTCACGCTAGTTATCGCGATGGGCGATGGGCTTCTTCTCTTTGAAAATGATTGGACAGGGGTTTGTAAATGAACTTTTGTGATGAACATCAACCTCATACCAAAAAAATTCATTTGAGTCGCCGACAGAGCTCGAATTTGATAGCTTAAGGTTATATTTTTGAGCAACGAATCGCATAATAATTCCACGCTTTTGCCATTGCCAGATACGTACGGTCCCAGTGCAAGATGCCTGGTTTTGAGTATTCCTCAAGTCCTCCTTCAACACCAAACAGAAGCATCAATAGTAGATTCAGTTTTGGAAATTCAAATAATCCATCGACTACGCCAGCTGGAGCTCCGCATTCATCTGCTGGCTCTTATACCCCTGCTGGACCAGCACCATCATCCTTTCTTGAAAGCACGATGCGAAGCCCAACCCCAAATAAGTCGGCCTTTGGATACTCGGAATACTCACAGCAATCAGACTTCGACCAATCACAATTAAACTTCGGTCATTCTGAGCTTCAGAGTCCGCAGTTTTCCTCTCCTCTGTTCACACGACCAGCGTCAAAACCGCAAAGAGAGGTATTTGGCAGTAAATCTCAGAAGTCGCAAAGGAACTTACGATCGCCATCGAGAAGTGAGGAGGAAGAGGAAGAAGAAGATGATGAAAATACCGGATTTGATACAAATACTCGCAAGCGTTACGCACAATCATTCGACGATGACCAGGATATGAGAAGTGAAGATGGCGACTACGAAGACGAAGACGTGGACGATTATCGATCCGAGTCGCGAGGGACAAAGTCAATGAAACGCAATATATATAATCAGCACAGCAATTCAGTCCGGTTTGCCAGTACATCTGGAAGTATGCGACAGAGTAAGGGAAATCAATTGGTAGACTTTCGAGGTTCTTTAGCGGAACCACAGGGGGAAAAGGTACAATCGTCGGATTTTGCTAGTATTGCGAAAACCATATCTCAAGGCCTGGGAATTCCTGCTGTGGACGAAGAAGATGATTTAATATTGAAGACGGAGGCAATAATCACAAAACTCTACGACCAGGGAGTGGGAAAGGCAGATAACGAGGAAAAACTCCAGCGTGCTTTGGCAGTTATACCTAGCGAGTTAACAGCACTTTGGCAGGAGTACAGCGAACGAAGCCCAGTCGACAATGAAGAGGAATATGCTTCAGTCATTGGTCCGGGTCCAGCAGCCTCAGAATTTGCAAAGGCCAACTACTTGGCTCATCTTGCATTGCAAATCCATCACTCTAAACCGGTGGAAAAAGGATCTGGAACTGTGGTTAAACCTCTTCCCCAAATTCTGCTAGATTGGCTAGATGAATATCATAATCCATTTCGACATCAACTTCCAGATATTCAATTCAATAGACCGAGTCCGGCTGCCCATCAATTATTCTGGACCACCATGCATAACAACATCGTTCGTGGGAAAGTTATGACTGTCATCAATTACCTTAAAAGTGCTGGTTGGAGATACTCATGGTCTGATGCAGATGATGTGGCTGCTCAAGGCGGAGCAGATGGCTTTACTGGGGTGGCATTGGCTAATGTTGAAAAAGTTGTAGATGATGCGATCAATGTTCTTTCACTATGCCCTGCAGTACATGGAGATTGGAATATTCATGGGAGTGACTGGAAACTATTTCGACTTCGGATATCACAGGCCATTGAAGACCTAAAACATTTTGCAGAAGGGGGTGCTCACCATGAGCCAGCTCGTGGGCCCTCCATCAGAAGCAGCCGAGGTGGAGAATATAGTAACCTTGCAAAGAGAGCCGCAAGTAGGGTACCGTGGAATATTTACCAGAATCTACTTACACTTTACAGCTTGGCTATGGGAGAGTCAATTCCCATTATTGAAAACTCCCAGGATTGGTGTGAAGCGACCATCGGTTTGCTTCTGTGGCATGATGAGGAAAAAGACCAGAGGCGTTTAGCTCCTGGGCGATCGATCAATAGCCTTCGCGCTTCTGTCATGAATTACGAGTCGGGAAACGATATTCGGAAACTTCGACGAGCCTTTGAGGTTGTAGCTGCTAGCAATACCGACTTCCATGTCAATAGTAATGACATGGTTGAGGTGGGATTAGCTTGCCTCTTTCAAGGTGACACTGAATCTCTTATTTGCATCTTGCGTGCTTGGTCCGGACCTGTGTCGTCAGCTTTGGCAGAAGTAGCATCATTGACTGGATGGCTCCCTCGCACCGAACCCCAAGGACTCCTCGCAGCGGGCGAGCTTGATCAAGAAGACCTTGATCTTATCAATTTTGGCGGATCAACAGTACAAGACGGTGTGAAAGACCTTACTCTCATCACGTATGCAAGGTCTTTACAGGACGTGCCAGAATTGTCTGCTGTGATTGGACACGCCGAGATAAAAAAAGAAGGCTGGGAACTGGCTATCGCTGTACTGGGTAGACTTGACTCGGAAAAACGATCTGAAGACATGGTGGAGGAAATTATGAGAACAGTCAACCTCGATAGTGCTGGAATCGTCGATAAACTTTGGCGATTACTCAATGATCTTGGCATGAGTTCTCAAGCCGAGGCCATTGCAATGGTATGTATTTTATATTCTTTTGTCATCATATGACATCAACTAACAGCATCTAGTCATATGCCGACTCACTTGCCAGAGACAATATTTCACCTGGTGAAGCATTATGGTATTACGCTTTAGCTCATAATTCTGCCAAGGTCAAGGATGTTCTTGATACACTCATTCAATTATGTCTAGTATACTCGACAGCATATCCTCCAGAGACTGAACTAGATGACCATTTACAACGCCTAATCTCATCTCCAAAGAACGCCATAAGTGAAATGTCTAGCATGGACATCGAAGCAGCAGAACTCGTTCACACTTCATTAAGTGGCTACGCAACACTTCGCAGATTTTATACTCTCAGAGATCAAGAGGTCGCGTTATCACCGGGTACTAAGCCATCAATGGGTGCAATCGTCAGAAGATCAGAAGCAGCCAACGCTCTCCTGGCACTGATAATCAGTTCCGACGACAACATCCGCGGTGGCATCTACGACGAAGCACGTGGAGCCGTCATTCCCATTCATTACATCCTGGCACTTTTAGGTGAAGCCATGCCCTTCGTCAACCAACCAGATTCCCTCCTCAGCACCTCTCAAATTGACATACTCCTTCGCACAATGGAAGATATCCAAGGTATTGGTCCACGCATCTACTCCGTCTGCAATGCCTTCCTTGAAACAGTCATCAAAAATGCTTCAGGTCTCAAAGGCTCTAACCCCATGGATTTACTAAGCAAATCATCCAGCGGCACAAGTGGAAGTTTCTCGATGGTAGGTAGCTCGATGATGGCTTCACAATTCCACAAATCAGTTACAGCGAGTGGACTATTGAATAAGGAGAATATCAACAGAGGATGGGATTGGAGGAAGGGAATAAAGGCGGGGATGACGGCGGAGGATATTTTGAGAATGTTGAGATTGGGGTTGGCCAAGGATTTGGCGAGAGCTTGGTTAGAGGAGACGGATGACATGTCGTGAGGATGGGATGGGATGGGATGAAATGGGATGAAATGGGATGGAAAGAGAAGATGATGGATGAATGGATAGCATAATGTAAGATCAATTGTGCACGCATGCATTGGAGAAATTCCGGGATGGCAAGGAGGCGTTTTTAAATCATGTAGTTGGGATTTCGAATGCCGAGATAATAGGATGGTAGTTGGGTCTCGCAATGCATAGTCCATAGTCCATGGTTCATGGTGCATAGTTTTATGCATATAGATGGCGTTGTATGTTTGTTGTCAACTCGAGTATGGGAGAGAAGAGAATACGAATAGGAATAGGAATAAAAGTCTTGATACCCAATTTTTTGCCAGTGGGGTTCTTCTTCTTCTTCTTCTTGTAATTGAGTTGAGGTTGGTAGGTGTATTGAGACTTGAGAATTGAAAATTGTACTCGTAAAGACTATTCGTATATACTAGTAAATGCAAATGCTGGTTAGGTAGGTATGCAATACAGGTTATTATATAGAGTATATACTTGGTATTTACTTGTATAAGTTTATGAGAGAATGAATGTATTAGTGTATTAAAGTAAGAGTACTCGAGTACTAGTGGTGTATAGTAAGAGAAGAGAAGAGAAGTGCTACTACTTTACTATAGTGCTGTTATTTTTTATTCTTTATTCTTTATTCTAAGCTAGCTGTTAATTAATTACTACTAACTACTAACTACTGAGTATACTATACTATACGATACTTGTCGTAATCGATATCGATATCGATATGATGTTTTTGATTATATACTCAAGGTATCTTATTGTAATTCATTATTGAAATAAATTGAGTTGAGTAAAGTTTTGTTTATTTATTAAAGAGTTGAGTTTTAAATTTCTAAGCTCTAGCTCTAGCCCTAGCTCTAGCCCTATAATATACATCTATATGCATCTAGTTTCATCTAAATTCATCAATCGATACCACTACCAGTACTACTGTAGTAGTACTCAGTATATTGTACATCTATCTATTTCATATAAGAGAAGTTATAACTTTCGTCTTCCATATTCTTACTCTCTCTCTTTTATCTCTCTTCCATCTCATCTCTCATCTTATATAAATCATCATGGAGTCGATTGATCCTCTCTCATTCTTGATCTCGATCTCCTTCTTTCTGTCGAGTCCGTAATTCAGTGCTTCGATGCCATATATGCATGTATGCTCGTCTTTCGCTTATACATCCAATATCTTACACATCGTATCGTCCTCCATCGTCTCCTCTTCCAGACAGAAGTATTCATCACCAAATCGCAAACCTCCATCCGATTCTCACGGCAACGCCCTCATAACGCCCTCAAACGCCACCAGCGCCACCGCATTCGCCGGAAACGCCCTCAAAAAACACGGCAAAAATCCTCTCCAATATCCTTTCCACCCATTTTCCCTATAGACCTCTCTCGCCGCACTTTTCCAGTCCGGAAACTTCCTCACTCCATCCCCTAACCCGCCTGCTAGCGGATCCGTCATAATGCGCTGTTTCACCACATCACTCGGATAACTCGTCATCCAAAAGACTTGCGCGGACAGTCCTCCTGCCCAGAAATTAACGGCGGGCGTACTCAGCTGTGTTTTCTCCGACAACAGTCGCGTGAACACATCGTAGGAACCCCACCAAAAGAAGAAAAAAGAGCGGAAAAATAGGGTAGCGCTGAGTCCATGGTAAAGACCACGAATACCGTGGTATCGATAGATTTTACGTGCGCAGTCGATGGGGCCGCTATATAAACGTTCGGATTTTAGACTCGAATATTGGATTTGTAGACGCGCTTTGAGGTGTTCGACGGGCGCGGCGATGAAACTTACGGTTGCGCCGGCCATGACTCCGGCGAGGGCGTGCCCTAAGGTGGGCAGTTTGTGGATTTGGGAGGGGTTGAGGGGAGTATCGGGATGGGCGAGACTAGATGGGGTGGCGGCCATGCGGGAGGGGGAAAAGAGGGTTTGGTGGAGCAGTTTGCGGTAGAAGGTTAGGGAACCAAGCATTATGCTGTCCATGAACATCCAGCCTACGAGGGGCGGAGTGGCGCCTTTGTAGAGACCGGTGAAACCTTCGTTGCGGAGGGTGATGAGGAGACATTGGAGCGGTCCGTTGAATTGAGAGGTGGTGGTGGTTTGGAGACGGACTTTGATGGTGTCGAATGGATGACCAACTGTTTATAGTATGTTATTAGCATTTCCAATTGCAAAACCACCAAATATTCATTATCCCCCAAAATATAAATATCCCCAAACCGCAAAAGACATCAAGACATCAAATCACCATAACCTTACCAGTAAGTTTTGAGATACCCGAAAATACACCCGCGACAAATCCTCGATAATTCTTCGACTCTCTCTTCGCTTCCACCATTTTTTCTCCTCGACCCGTATCCCCTCCCATCTGCAACCTCGACATTGCGGTTGACTCACTCGTGGCCATGTCTACCTAGGTACCTACCAGTACGTTCCCGTACAGACCAATTGATCACGAGTACACGGATTTGTCTTGTGTCGCGGACATTAAGTCAAGTCAAGTCATGTCAAGCTTTGTACAGTAAGTACGTCACAATAGCTAGACAGATAGACAGAAAAAACAGACAGACAGACAGACAGACAGACAGACAGACAGACGCGAGCAAAGGGTCGATCGATCGATTGAGCTTGCTTGCTTGCTTGCAAGAAGTCCTAGGGGTCTTGGATCGCCGTTTATTTTAGATTTATGGTATATTTTGAATTTAGCTTATTAATAGATGGATGACGAGTTGAAGCTTTGCTTTTGGTGGAACTACCTAGTTATTCATCTAACGGCGAGGTCGGAGTAGCTATTTATCACCCAATTAAATTATTTATTTCTATCTATGCAACTCTTATCGGTGGGGTGGAATTGATAATGTATAAAGAATTGATTTTATTGGTTAGATAAGCATTGATGAGAATAAGCGAGAAGCGAGAAGCGAGAAGCGAGTCAAGGAATAGAAAGACTAAAAGCAGCAATAAAATAAATAAATAAATAAATCTTTAATAGGCAAGTGGGGGAAGAAGCTTCTCTCTCGATCGATTTCCCTCGAAGTGGGGTAACTTCACCATCACATCACATCATCAAACCTTTGGTGTGATTATTATTATCATCGGATGAGATAAGATGAGATCTGAAATGTTAGAAATCCCAGAACTTCGGATTCTTTTTATTCAAATAATATATTTTCGTATTTTGTGGAAAAAGTAATAATTGACGCGTTTGCTTCTTGGCATATTGGGATCAGGTTTGATATTATATATTATATCTATTGTTTCGGAATCGGAGAGCCCCTTTGACTCCTCTGAGCCAGTAGTTTAAGCACACACACACATTTTACATATCTATTTCTTCTTTTTCTTTTTCTTTTTATGATTATTGGAGTTGATAGATATATATATATATATACACATACAAAGTATAGAATATTCGGTCAATATCTATAAGTTTGTCTTCATCTTTACACTTATACTCGAGTATATATAATTGATATATACCGGTACCACCCTCTCATCTTATTTCAATTTATCTATCCCTATCTCATACTCATACTCAACGATCTGCAGAGTTGGATCTCAAATCATTTCAGGAAGATGACATCCTCTGAACGAGTCACCGAATCTAAAAAGGGTATGTCTAATCATCTCATCCCATCCATCCCCAAAAACAAACTAACAAACCCCCCCTCCCTTTCAGTCTGGACAACCCTCATAACCAACACCGCCTACCTCTCGGGTCTCCTAACCCTCGACTACTCCCTCAAAAAGCAATCATCCAAATATCCCCTCGTAGCCCTCTACACCGATGCCTTCCCACCCGAAGGACACGCCGCTCTCGAAGCCCGCGGGATACCCAAACAGCGCATCGAATATCTCCTCCCCAAAAACGGAGGCAAAGATTACTCCAACGATCCCCGTTTCTACGATTGCTGGTCTAAACTCGCGCCGTTTAGTCTGATCGAATATGAACGCGTGGTGCAGCTCGATAGCGATATGTTGGTTCTGCATAATATGGATGAGTTGATGGAGATGGATCTTGATGCGCCGGAGGTAGGGGGGAAGGGCGAGAGGGTTTTTGCGGCGGGTCATGCGTGTGTTTGTAATCCGTTGAAGAAAAAACATTATCCGGCTGATTGGTATGTTCGCCCTTATAATCGCATTCACTCTCTCTTTAAATCACACATAAAAATATACTAACATAATCCCCCAGGATCCCCCAAAACTGCGCATTCACCTCGCAGCACAATACCCCCGACATAGCGCAAACCACAGGACCACCCCCCTCCACCTCCCCCCTCGGCTTCATGAACGGCGGACTCCAAGTCGTCAACCCTTCTTCGGGGGTCTACAACGCCATCCTCGACCATCTCTCCTCAGACGCAGCCATCAACATGGATTTTGCAGATCAATCGCTCCTCTCCGACTTATTCAAAGATCGATGGGTCCCATTGCCGTATATCTATAATGCGCTCAAGACGTTGAAGTGGGAGGGGGTTCATCCGCAAATTTGGAGAGATGAGAAGGTTAAGAATATTCATTATATTTTGGCGCCGAAACCTTGGGATGAGTTGGATGGGGAGGGGAATTGGACGGGAAAGGATGAGACGCATAGGTGGTGGGTGGAGCATAATCAGGAGAGGTTGAGGGGGGAGAGGGAGAGGGGGGTGAAGGTGGATGGGTTTTAGTTGGTTTTTGGGATATGGGATATGGGATTTGGGGGTTGGGGGTTGGGGTTTTGGCGGAGAGAAGTGGATTGGATGGATTGGATGGACTGGATGGACTAGAAGACTAGAAGGAAGACCGGGAAAGTTGTGATGATGATAATAGTATCATGCACATGAGATCGGAAACGATATATTCGACTCTCCATCATCTTATTTCTCTATTTTTGAATACAACCTTGAGCTTAGCTCAGCTCAGCCCACACAATAAATAAACAATTTTTCTTGAATAAAGATCTTGCATCATTCCATTCCCCAAAGATTTTTCATACAATAAGGTTACTGGCCGGTACTCTCTAAATCTAAGTGTGTGTGTTGTGTGTGGACTAGAATAGTTTTATTTTATTTTACTTTTTTGGTATTTTGGTATTTTGGTATTTTCTATGCCGATCGGTATGATTCTCTATTGTATGTATCTGAGTGGAGGGAGGTAGATGTAAGGATTGGGATTGGGATTGGGATGTTGGTGTTTGATGTTTGGATGTTGGATGCTTGATGTGGGTTTTTGGGAGGAAAAGGAGGAAAAGAAGGTAGAGGTTAGAGGAGAAGGGGAAGGGGAATAAGTGATTTGGTTTAACTCATTGATTTATTACTTACTATAACCTCATAGTTGATTTTAATCTATATATATAATCTTCTACTCGTATACAAAATATAGATAATAAATAATAATCAATGAAGAAGAAAGTTTCCTTAAAAAGTACTGTAATTAATCGTCAGTCAATAGTCGGCTGGCTCTTTATGAAGCCGCCTTCTGAGTCTGAGTCGGATTCTCGAGTGTGAGAGCCTGAGAGTCTGAGAGGAGGTTAGAATATAATTTTAGAATACTTCTAGAGTGAGAGTAATCGTTGTAATAGATAATTGGTTGGTTGGTTGGTAGAGTAGAATTGATATTGAAATTAGCATCAGTATTAGCGTTAGTATTTGCATTAGTATTAGTATCGACGTTGTGAACTTCGAGAAGATTCTATTATTATTATTATATTATACAAGTATGGATACAGATTCGGATTCGGGGAGGAATCTAATTGCATAGGTATATTAATATTAATATTATTAAGGTAGGTGTACTCGGGTATGTATAAGATCAGGTATGGTACATAGGTAGGTAGGTGTGTTTGAAAGCTAGATCTAGAGCTAGAGCGGGAATAGAATAGAATAGAATAGAATAGATACTAGGGCTCGTTATATATACAGTAACCTACCTATGTCTAGGTGAGTTCGTGAGGTCATGAGTTCCTCGTGATTTAGGGGTACTGTACTAGTTAGTACATGTAGTGTTTGTTATTCTGATGATTTTGATATATTCGAGTGTGTATATATATATATATGTTTGAGGTGTAGAGGTGTAGATAGAAGAATCTTAGGCTTGTTGTAGGCTCGTTGTATATTTTTGATGATGAACTCCTTCCTGTTTGATATTGCGTTTATTGCGTTTTTTGTTTGTAGATTTGAATATAGGTAGGTAGGTTTTTTTAGAGGAATGTTATAGAAAAGCCTCGCTAGGAAAGCTAAGGGGTTGGTATTCGAGTACATAGGTATACAATAAAGGGTTCGAATCCGTACTCGTACCGGTATACTGTTATAAAAAAAAACCAAGATTGATCGGAATCGCTACACTTGATACAGAATAGTATTCGATTACAACTCAGATGTTGTTTTGTGATATCAGTTATTTATTCTAATATATATATACTCTACCTTCATGGAGTAGGCAAGATCAAAATCAAGATCAAGATCAAATACAAGTAGAAATATATTCCTAAATGAATAATCACAGACAAACAAATGGCCTTCTGAAGTGTAATATCCCAATAAATACAAACACAAACATAAACATGCCTCTCACCTCCTCTTTCTCACCTCCTTCCTCTCATATTCCCATCTAATCCCCACTCTCACTCCCACTCCCACTCTCACCTCCATCCCCTTAACTACACTACAAATCCAAAGTAGCCCCCGCCGTCCCCACAACCGCCCCAACAACCTTTGCACTTCCCAACAGCGCATACAAGTACGGAACTGAAGTTGTGGTTAGAGTTCCTACTGGAGCTGTGTTTGTATAGCCGCCGAGATCGTTATCGAATGCGTTTGCGTAGCTATTGAGAGGTGGGGCTAGTTAGTGAGTGTATGTTTTATATGGTTTAGGATAAGAGGATTGATGGAGTTGATGGAGTTGATGGAGTTGTGTGGGAATTGGAGGAGAACTGGAAGAAACATATATAGGACAGGAAATACATACCCAGTATCATCACTATAGAGCGCTGCAATCGGCTCGCTCACATTCTTAAAAACATTACTCTGCACCAAAATTTGCGCACCATCTCTCGTATCAATGCCCGTGTTGGTATTCAAGAAATAACTATTAAAAACATGACCAAACCCGAAACAGAAACTCGGGGTACGAGAACCAATGTTGCTCCAATAGTTGTTGTGTTGAGTAACAGTTAGATGACCGGTATCTTCAGCAGCGTTGTTGTCGGAATGGCCGATCAAAGAGGCTTTGAAGTGGTCATGGATATAGCTGTTGGAGATGGTGACCCAGTCGCAGGCGTGGGTGACGTCGATGAGACCATCGTAGTAGTCTTTGCCGTCTAGGAGGTCTGAGGAGGCGTCGCTGGGAAGGAGGTTAGTTCGATTTGTGTAGCTTATTTGTGAGGAATGCATATGAAGAGGAGACGAACACATGGTCAATCCAAACATTTTTAGAAGCCTGGACACCAATAGCATCGCCATTGGAAGCAAACACTTTTTGAGTGATGATGTTTCGTACAATCACATTTGCGGATTTATTGATATAGAGACCAATTCCAACAAGAGCTAGAGACCAAATGTTAGTTCGGTCTGGAATATCATATGGGAGAGGGGGAACGCACTAGCTCCTTTCTTTCCAACAATAGTCTTGTTTGATCCAACTCGGACTTTCACAGAGCCGGTGATGGTACCAGATACAACGATGACTCTTGCAACGGCATCATTGGTCACGGCAGTGGTGACTTGAGCAAGTGTGGAGACTGTGGTGGTTACGCCACCTTTTCCGCCAGTCGTGCTATGAAACTCGTTAAAAGGCCATCAAGCAAATGTGATACAAGATCACTCACCCGCCATTCTGAGTTGCAAAACCAGTGGTAGCAACATCACTAATGGTAGCTCTCTTGGCAATATTTGCACGCTCGGCAATATCTTCACTTTCCGTTGGTGTTGGGATAGTAGAGGCGAACTGCGCAAGAAGTGCAAGGCTAGTGGAGAGGATAGAAAGCTTCATTTTGGATATTCTGTTTTGAACTGTTGCGGTCAAAGATCGGTTCGAGAAGGTGCTTGTAGCCTTTTCACTTCAGTGTTTGTCTTGAACTATGAAGAATGTGAATCTTGTGGAATCTTCTCCCCTCTTTATATGATTCCTGTTGCTCACTACTCAGCCCATACTCATGGGCGAAGCTCGAGTATATTTCGACATCATACCTGCAAATTTGGCAATTTCCACGGAATTCAGTTTGAAACAAAACGAACCAGCTTTCCTCACCATTCACGGCACTGACGATACCACTAGATTCCACGAATGATGTTTCGAACCTTCATCATGCAGCAGCAACATTCAAAAGAAATTTTTGGAAATTTTCTGAACGCAACGAAGATATTGCCAAGCAGGTGGGAGCCAAGGTAGCTTTAGATGAAGCTTGTTTAATGTCAAGGTTGGTGGGTACAAGCTTTAGGAGATTTTCCGTCTACAGGTGCCATATGTATGCCAATGAATCTGGGGACCCCGCAATACCTACTGCTCCACATAAATGAAGATCGGCATTATTGTCGATGTCACATGTTCTGTGAAGAAGATACAACATCGTTTTGATATAGCCAAGTATGGAAATGATGTTTTCGAAAATTGACTATAAGTGGAAAATTGAGTTCCGTGAGTCAAAGGAGGTTCTATGTCAACAAGAATAGGTACACCGACGGTGTATATTTGCTTCTGCGGGTTCGAAATAGATTGTATTTTGAGGAAAGTAGCTTTCACGAACGATTGTTGGAAGATCTCGGTTGTATGACAACTTCATTTCGGTTGCACAACGTCTCATGACACCTAGTAGGTTATGGAAGGAAGCCTTTACCCGCCTGTAAGGATCGACTTTGAAGGAAGTAGAAAGATCTCGAAATTATCCTTGGCGCATGAATCGATATTATCATACCTGCCAGATTCACAACATGATCTTCAGTTACCGGGTCACCGTAAATTACCTGTACCAAATTCCATCCCATCTCGCCATTCAAGAACTGAGACCTGAACCTCTTGCAGTGATTGATGCCTCGGTTGACCTCATTTGCTAAAGAAATTCGTAATCTTTTGACTTCCCTTTTCCTGACCTGATGATTTCTTCGGACTTCCATAATTATTGCTCGTAGCACTTCTAGTTTTCCGAGTCGACGCCACAGACGGAGAATCTTTGTGTGTACTTGCAGATATCCGTATTTGTTTTTTGGGCGGTTCTTCGACATCAACGTCGTCAAGTTCGCGTTTTATCCCTTGTTGGTCCTCTGTTTTGGGCACAGGTAAAGGTGCGTTATCTTCGGAACCATCGTGATCAATGGTTTTGCGATCATCTGTATCTGTGTGCTCTTCTTTGATTGGTGTATGATTTGGTTTCTCCTCTTTGATTTTCCGAGGTGCATCTGAATTGGATGGTTTGGATGTCGCCTTTGCATCATCCTTCCCTCCTTTGGCAAAGAAATTGGCAATATTGGACTTATTCTCGGTGCTTGCCACTGGGACAATGAAATTGGGAGAATCGTTGCCCACTTTCCCCACTTCCTTACTTACTGGATAGATCTCCAACTCTCCCTCATATGGCTTCAGAAGAGACTGAAGTTCTTTCGACCACGATGATCTTTTCGGATCGAGCCAAGTACGAAGATCCTCCGAGCCATTGTCGAGAACAACTGGCATTCTATCATGTAGGAAGTTCAACTGCTTATTCGAACTTGTGGTGATGATGGTGTAAGTATAGAGTCTCTCATCAGAACCTTCATATTGAACAACATCCCACAGACCCGCCATACACATCAGTTGTCCATCTTTCCTCTTGATGTAATGGGGTACTTTTTCTTTCCCATTCTTCAGCCACTCATAGAATCCCTCTGCAATAATAATACACCTTTTCTTTTGCTTCATCGTATTCCACATTCCTCTATTCTCAATCAAAGAATCATCACGGCAATTGATAGTCTTCATCATCGATCCATAATCCGGATTACGCTTCGTCCAAAATGGTATCAATCCCCATTTCATACTCTGTAGCTTATAGTGAACTGTCTCATTCGCACGCTTTTCTTGTTCGATCACATCCGGCTCGGCAGCTTCGAGCTCGGTGGCAGATCGATCTTCGGTCCCATGCTCATCAGCACCAGCTTGTTTATGTTGTCTCGGTCCTGCACCCCAATCAGGTACATTAGCCCGATAAACAATCCCATGGTATCCAGGAGCAAAATTGTAACTCTGTCGTGGCGCGCCTGCACCCTCATCATCCGGAGCTTCCCCGACTGGCATATTCTCATTTTCGAGATATTGGCGAACCTCTGAAGGCCGCTTTGTAGCTGTAGCATTAGTGATTGTTTGATGGACCGGGTAATTGTAATTGTGTAGCTTACCAGATGAAGAGCGTATCGTCCACACATCTTGATGATATGATATGATGTTAAATTGTTGCATTGTATTGAGAAGGGTTGGATTGATAGTCGCGTTTGTAGAATACGACAAGCGGCCGCGTGCAATTCAATGACGTCACAATTTAATGTGATATACTCTACTCACTGCTCAGACTCTCAGTAAGTCTACCATGATAGAATCTAATGATAGAATTTAGAGGTACAGAGAAATTCTACTACAGGGGTTGCGTTGACTAGTCACCAACCACCTATTATTCTAACACCCTTGGCTTTAAACTCAGCGTTTCGAATTTGTTACGCCCTTTTGGGCCATTCTATTGTTTCTAGAATATTCGATACATATCCATCACATGTGGAAGAAACACGTTAAATCACGGAAGAATTTGACATGGAGCGTATAGAGGTAAATATTGAAATTCTAAAGGATGTTTTCAATCGAATCACAATACCGACCGATCCAGGGGAGAAATTTGTGTACCATTCTGAGCGGATGACGGCGGCAGCTCTCTACAAATGCTTAGAACCTTTGGACTGTCCATTTCTCAAGCAAGAGGGTCTCCGCAAAACGAGTTCCCCTGGTCGTTGAGAGGCTCTTGTTGATGTATAAAACCGTTTGCTGAACCAATACGGTGTTGGAGAAAGAAGCCAGCAGAGTAGTACAAAATGAAAGACTGAATAACCTTCGAACGATGTCATGATCAAGCTTTGCTGCATTTCTTAAAAAGCGTTCCGCTGCCAATTCTAAGAGACTTCCGGATGGCTCCCTTCGCAGCCCTTCGCATCTAAGCACATCCTCGTGAATCATTTCGTCAACAAATCACGAGCATCCTTATCCAAGGCACCCATGCTAACATACTGTTCACTCCAGCATTTCTGAATAATCGTTCCACAGAACAGACCTTCCAACGAAGATAAATCTTGGCTTGGTTGTTTTGAGGGGTTGAAGAAATAATAATCGTGGACACGCCAGACGGCAATCGAATAGATAACCCAGCCAAGGTGAAGAATTTCGATTTTGGCAGTCAAATCTTGCTCGCATATTGTATCCACATCGGCACCCATGGACAGTAACATAGACTGGCCAAAATCCGCGACCGTGAGCTTTTCATCGCTGACCAAGATATTCCGGAGGGCAATTTCGTCCACGAAGACCCTGCGTGAGTGGATATAGGATAAAGTGTCTATGAGAGACAAAATCCACTCAGTTTTAAGTGATTGGTGTGGTTCAATGTTCTTCTTGATGTACCACTTGAGATCACCTTGCTTTGCAAAGGCAAGCTCGATCCCGTCATCAGAGGCTTTGAAACAATGGATGATCCCTCTATAGTTGCCTAGTCGTTCGTAGATAGCCTTCTCACGTTTCAATGCGTCACGATTGTCAGAGTTTGAAAGTTCGGTGCTGCGGATAGCCTCACTGGTAGAACAATCCAAAGGAATAGATTCTCGCGATCTTGACGACCCGCGTCTCATCAAGCCGAAGGATACGGCCAGTCATTCCATTCGCAATGGGATCATAACCACGATAAGACTTCGGAGCCCAGTCAAAGTTCCCCTGTGCACGTAGGGGCGGAGGCGCTGGATTATCCATATCACGCCAGTGCTTTGAGATTGACAGACGATGAGTCGTGAAATGAGGACGCCGAGGGTTTGGGTAGACAGATAGACTCTTGCTGAAAATCTAGAAAATATGTGTGGCGACCTTACGTTTTGGCGATTTGCAGATTGAAGGATTTTTGTTCCATCATTAACGCGACTGCTGTGCCATCGCAATAAATACGCTAGCTAGTGCCACTTCTTAGGTAATCAGATAAGTAAGGGAGAGGAATTGATGTGACACCTAAAGTAAGGAAAATGTAACTTGACAGATTTCAACATATTTAGAATGATGAATGATTTCATTCAAGAAAGGAATTGACTCTAAATCTTTGTTGTAGTGAGTGATTCAGTTATGCGAAATCTGAGGCTTCGCTGCAAACCCGTGGCCCATTCAGATCTACTTGTGTATAGAATAGAGATTAGTAAAAATAGATTATAAGAGCATAACATAATTTTGTTTAATTTTTATTGAGGAAAGAGTCGATTGCAAGTTCTATAGTTTTTCGAATGGTACTGCGCGAAATTTGGCTTACACACAACGTTTTGTTCACGGTACACTATGTGTAAAGAAGCAAGGCTGGAAATAAAATTAGTCGAATTTCAAAGGTACAAAGGTACAAACCAGGTTATAGCAGGATACCAGAGCTAAGATAGCTGTCTACTTCCGTACATCGAAGTACCGGGCACCTAATTATGCCATCACATAACCTCCTACCACTTATAAACTCCTCCCAAGCTCAACACAAAAGAGCAGACGTGATTCGCTCTTCCGATTAAAACCTCATAGCAATTAGACCTACCAAAATTTCACATCCAAGGCATTGATTGACTGTCCTTCATCTACCGCGCCGACTAAAGAACTCTGATGATGGGACTATCCAGTTGTGGGATATAAAGACGGGCAAGATACCGCGGAAGTTTAAAGGCAATGCGATCAAGACGGTCACGATATCCTTTTCATGAGACTCGACATATTACTGGACGCTCATCCACCAAACATAAATCTTATCCTGCTTGAGCGAGGCTCGACGAGCAACTCGATTAGTAGCTGCCGATATGTAATAATGTCCGAGTATTGCACAGTTCATTACGAGCCCGAACAATCTTAAATGACACTAACAGGAGAGGCTTCTTGCTTAATTCTTCTGCCTAAATAACCACTGATTAATCTCCACCGTATTCAGATCATATCAAACCTTAACTAATATTCTCATCTGGTTGAATAGGAGATCATCACTTTAGTCTAAATTTGACTTCTTTTGCACTGGTAACACAAGAAAGGAAGAAAGATAGGATAGGTAAGAAGAAGTTGGGAGAGAAAAAGCAGAAGAAAGGAAAAGAAAGTTGACCCCTGGTTTTGTTCCACTATATCTCTAGCTTTTCGATTTGGGTAACTGCTTGGTGTTTCAAATGGTGGTCGACATCAACGCAGATAATGCTAAGGTGGAGGATGTATGATTTGATGGGGCCGTTTCTTCGATGACGACAGATCGGAGATCTTATACTCTGTGGCGTCGACAGTCTTCGCAGGCTAGCAGATGGCAACGTTTGCAAGACAAAATGTACTTGTAATGTCTCGCGCCACACATCTCGCAGACCTTGCCGCGGCGCGATCCTTCAAGTCTAGTGAACTTGCCACTATGGTCGCACTCATGGTTTATTTGCAGTTCCTGTGCCATAGCTACCACGCGCCGTTGACGAACAGCAGGTGCCAAAGGCCATGGTGCCTCTCTGTCAACAATCTGCTCAGCTCTTTGATCGAGGAGTTCCGGCACCCAGTCACCACATTGGCATTCCTTCCACTTTACACCACATCTGTAGCAGAACTCGGCACTACATCTACAAATATAATTTGGATCAGTTCCTACTCGCACAACGAATAGCAGTAGGGTCACTCACGTCATGTGGTCACAGCCCTCATACCGAAACACCATTTCACCGCATCCAAAGCAGGGTTTCCAGCCTTGCTCAACCGCGAAATTGATGAGGCTCTGCCTTGCTTCATCTGCTGGACACCCTCCATCATGTGCTAGTCCTTTGCAGTGCATACAAGTTCCAGCACTACAGACCTCACAGAAAGCACAGTCCGAGGTTCGTTGCGACATGGGAATAAACTTGGCGCACTCCGAGCTGGCGCAGTACACTCTATCCGTGCTAGTAAATTCTAGCTCAGCACTTCGATAGGCAGTCAACTCTTCCACCGAGAAGTCTGCTTCGATGGTCGAGATTTCAATCAGTTGGCGGTGACATTTTGGTGGGAAAAGGGTTTCGTCCTTGGCAACACGCAGGAAGAAGGACTTGAGGCATGGCTTGCAATATACATCGCTGCATACCAAACGCACGGTGAAATGAGGATGAACGGACTCTCCACAAACACTACATTCAACTTTGAGTTGGGGCAAGTGCTCAAGGACAGCCTTCTGGCGGAGAGTATAATGAGTTGAAGGGCCCGCAACGGTGCTGCAGGACGTGTTGCTGAAAGTCGAAGATTCTGTAGCTCGCAGGACAAGCTCCCAGTCGACCGGCTCCGCCTCGAGAGGAGACATCTCCGGCAAATCGGTGACATCCTGGGATCGCAAGGTTTCATCTTCATTCAAGTTTAGGGCGAAGTCTCAATCTTGAACCGACTGTCTCTCCTCGACCCTGAATTCTTCGATGGCCAAAGCATCGGAATCAACAGCTTTAGAATGCTATGAGCGAACTTTAGATCATCGACTAGGAGGAGCGCCTTCTTTAGCTCGGCCTCGAAGTCATCGAATGCTAATGCAAAGTCGGGGGGTTTATCCACGGTCCATTTGCCGGATTGAAGCTCACGCTGAGCTTCGATCTCTTCGAGTTGAAGCTCTAGAGCAAATACGTCGTCGTCGAATTGAAGGAAGGAATCAGTGCATGCCATGACTGAGGCCGGTATGCTTTGTTTGTCTGGGTTTGGTTGTTAGATGATTTGGTGTGTTGAGAGAGGTTGTGGACTCTCGTTGGAGATCGATAGGATGGGTGAGGTTCAGTTCTGTGGGTCAGCCCCGCAACACGAGCGAGCCTCAGGCACATAGCAACTTGCCAAGTGTATTTGTGACTATTTGTTCAATTTACCAAAAATAGATGTCTATCTTATACAATTTTGTTAAATGAAACTTGTATAATATACTAATAGTAAATCTCGTTTGAAGAATTAAATTATATAGACCAATTTCTTTCGATTTTAATTACTAATATTTAATAAAATATCTAGTAATTAAAGACGAGTATTAGAATATTTAAACTAATAACTTGAAAAAGCAATATTATAATATTAAACTTTAATAATAGAATATTTATATTAGTCGTGGTGTGGTCGGCGTTTCTCAAGGGCACACA